TGCCATTGGGCAATCTGACTCCTTGGTCCATCAGGGGCCCACTTACCATTGGGCAATCTGTCTCCTTGGTCCATCAGGGGCCCACTTACCATTGGGCAATCTGTCTCCTTGGTCCATCAGGGGCCCACTTACCACTGGGCAATCTGACTCCTTGGTCCATCAGGGGCCCACTTACCATTGGGCAATCTGTCTCCTTGGTCCATCAGGGGCCCACTTACCACTGGGCAATCTGACTCCTTGGTCCATCAGGGGCCCACTTACCATTGGGCAATCTGTCTCCTTGGTCCATCAGGGGCCCACTTACCACTGGGCAATCTGTCTCCTTGGTCAGTTCATCAATAAAAAAAAATATTTGATTGATTATTTCACTTATCAACACTTTGTAGGTTATTTAAAGCCAGAAAACATTTTTAGATTGTAAGATTATTTTTTAGATAATAATGATTTAGTGATACAAGTCTTACTAATTAATCCATAGCTGGGGAGAAGAGGTGGATTCATATCTTTTCCCAAGGATTCACACAAGTGAATATAAAAAACCGATGAGAAATAGAACTTGGCTCTCCGATTAACAATTATAAGCCATTATCCATTACGCCACCCACACATCGAAGCTTACAGCATTCGATATTCACAAGTAGTCACCCATCTAGGTATATACCAAGCTCGACGTTGTCTGACATTAGTAGTCATACAGGAACTAGTGTTTCAATTTGATATGGCCATAAGCACCCCTGAAAAGATCACAAGAGCAAAATTTAATTCAACTGTTAAAATAGAGTTATATGAGTTGGTGATGTTCAAGTTACAGTTGTTGGTCATTTTGTTTAGATTTCAGAACTAAGGCATGAATTAATAAGTAGATAGATACAAAAGTATAACAAGAACAAACTTAAATGCAGCTGGTACATTAAGTGAATAAAGAGTCTGTTACCAGTGTATCATTGAAATCTGCATTCAGTGATGCACATCATATCAAATAACTGATATCAAATAACTGAAGTTTGGTGTACAAAGCAAAACTTTCACTGGAGAAGTTAAAACATTATGTACACTATTTACATTATTCGGACTATTGTCCTCATCTTTGTTACCATATTTATTACAACGTTTCTCCGGCCTTCTTCAGGTAGTTGGAATGTCAAACTGAACCCTTTATTTTGCTCACTGGGGTAGACTGTTCTATTTCCACATGCCATGGTTAGTGGATGTCAGTTGTCAGTTATCTTCTTTTAATTGCCCTCTCCAAGTTCTCCACTGCCTTAACTGGGTACTGAACTCACACTCTTTGGGTCCTGTCACTGGATCTAACTAATGCTTTTATCCACTGTGCCATGTGTCCTTGAGGACATCTATGTATGAATTTCTGGGTATTATAAACCTAATGTCTACCCCAGTGATCAAAATAAAAGGTTCAGTTCAACATTCCAACCACTTGAAAAACATGAGGACAATAGTCTGAATAATGTAAATAGTGTACATAATACCTCATCTGAGAAATATAGACAGATACTTAAAACATTATGTTTTATTTTTCCAGCAGATATGACAGTTCAGTGGGATTTTTGTCTACATTATCAGTGTTCAGGAGTCAACATTTTAAGTAAATGATTATGGAGTCTGTCTGAAAAAAGAAAATGTATAAAGTTAATCAGGAAATTATAAAATTTTCTGAAGATATTTTGTTTATATTAAATGCCCAAGACTGAAAATGGACCTAATGTCTCCATTTTTCCAGTTGGAAAATCTGCTTGGTTTTTACTGTTTGTTGCCCATCTCATACATAGCTTACATCATTGTGCAAATTAATTGAAACAAAACACATAATTCCATTATTATTTACTTTTTTTTCATATTTTTCCAATGAAACATGACCCAGTGCAAATATTGCTTTGTATTTGCATTCCACAAAGTTGTTCCTTGCAGATTGACCATAGATTCTTGATTGGATTTAAATCAGTAGAGTTTCCAGGCCAGTCTAGTGCTTTGATTTGCTCACTGATACAACTTGCCTGTGTGTTTCTGCAGCATTACAAATTTTCGTACACTTCCTTGCGGTAACGTCCATTGCAGACTATGACCATAGGACAACTAATTGATAGTTGGGACAATAGTGTCTGGGCATGATAAATATCTGATGCAATCACGGATGATGCAATATTCTTCAAGGCCAAACAAATTTCATTACACACCCCAAAAATAGATTCATATTGCTGCACACCACTGCAAGTAACCTAATTTAAGGAAAAAATAGAAATTGATTACACCCTGTCACTCCAGTGGGTCTAAAACTGACCGTATGGTGAAAGAAAGGAAACTAAAGAGGTTGTTTCAATTAATTTGCACAAGGGTGTACTTTTATAGCAGTCTTGTTCCTTTTCTTAATCATCTGTGATATTGTGGCAGAATTGTTAATTTTTGAGTTCTTTTTTATGAATTAATATATATAGATATGTAGATAAGAAAGTGTTATTTGTTAATTACCTGATATATCTATTGTATTGTCAGTGTTTTTTAAAAACAGTATTTTATTTAATTTTAATAAGAATTATATATATTTTTACTTAGTGTTTATAAAAAGGTATATTTTAAAGCAGCTGATTTCAAAAGGTATATCATTTTATTTAATACTTATCAATAAATGCACATATATTGCATGAATATATGCAATTTCTAAAGAATGTGTTTTTCTTTATTAATCCGATAGGTTTTATAACTTAAACGTTATATAAAGTCTGGTTCTCCTGCTATATATCTCAAGATTCTCGACAAAATCTAGAGAGTCTGTAATTTAATCAGTCCTTACCTGGCATCTCAACTTTACCAACATTCCCGTAACATTCCCTATGTCTTTTCTATAAATATTTCCATGGCAGTTGTTCTAATGAGTTCTTGTCCTTGGTATCTCAACTACATAAATTTAAGCATAGTACTAGATTGGCTACTCGGTCACATCGTTTTACTGTTGAATTAGCTAGATGCAACTGTAAGTTCTAAACTAATAGTTTCTTTTCTCACACTTCTCACCTGTGGAACTCACTTCCATTTTCTTGGTACCTGGCCACTTACAATCTTCAAAAATTTAAATGTAACATCAATCACCTGTCATTCTGTCTTTTTAAATCTTGTTCTTTTATTGTCCTTTCTAAAGTCTTCTCATTCTATTTCACTCCCAATAACCCTTTGCGTCTTTGTGGCATTATCACCTTCTTTGAATTGAAATGATGAAAAAAAATGTCATATATTATTTAAATTTGGCCATGGTCCCTTTCAAATAGTCCACTTGAGCACATGTACACCAGCCGCAACTGGGAGGTAAACTTTGCAGCAACACAATGCCAATTCTGGTTTTCTGTGGTGATCTTCCCCTTAACTCATACTAATCAATTTTTGGGACATATAATGAGAAAAGAAGGTTTGGGGAACACGACACTCTATGTTATCTATATGAGCTCCCAAATTATTTCCACACTCTCTGGTATTTGATTATGATTTCCATCAGGATGCATGTGATTATGGTTCTCCACAACTTTCTATCCGTTTTTGTAGTTGGAAGGTGAAAACTACTATTTCTATGTGCCACATCCCTTCAGGACATGTGTCTCCACAACATTCTATCTCGTGTGGCCCTTAGCAGTTTATCTCCTTTTGCTAAGGCCCTCAGTGCCTCTATTCCATCATCCATTCACACAAACGTGTCCAGTAAGTGGCTTACTGCCTTCTCCTATCTCTCTTGTTCTCAATATGGCGGTAGAAATTACTTTACTTTTTAATTTCATAAATCTTATCTTAACATAACTAAATTAAAAGAAGACATTTTTTTGTGAGCCAGAGGAGACATCATCATCATCATCATCATCATTATTATTATTATTATTCTCCTTCTTCTCCTCCTTCTTCTTCTTGAAAAAAGTAGTTTAGATGTACCACAATCTCATAGTAATCAATCATAGCATCCCACTCCCAATAATCCTCATAGAAAAGATATTAGAAAACAACCCACTGGAGTGTCATGTAAGCCTTGCAGCCATACCACAACACTATGTTGAGTTGTGTGAGAGTGAACATGTTAAAAATGTAGACTGTCATGGCTCCCCATAGTTGCATGTGGTAATATTTGTCTCCTTACTATCCCTTTCAATACCTATACTGCTATTCAATAGGTAGGTAACATGCTGTTTTCCCCTGCGCCTCTTGCTTTTAATATGTCCTGTGAGGATTATATTCCCCAAGCCCTCTTTTCTCATTATGCATGCTACAAACTTCAGCTCATAATCTTGAACAGACACTTTGAAACATGTGTGAATCTATACTGAACTTAAAGAATGTTAGTCGAAGGCCTGATGAAGCATCTTGAACAGATTACTAGCATATTAGCCAAGCTTCTTGCAAAACATGATTGTTATAACCTAGTGAAGATTACTGAATAGAATAATCAAATGAAGGTTGGTAATGAATGATAATACTTAGGACACGAACAACACATATAAGATTCACCAGCGGCGCATAGAAGAAATGGTCAACTGCTAGAATTCCACAATTAATCTCCACCTGCAGACCAACATACAGTATTTACTACTGTATTTATGTGAATGGGGACATAGCCATTATCATCCGTAGGTATGTTACAACAATAATGTAAGCACATTGCTTGAATTTGACAGCAATCATAAAGATAAGAAATTTGTTCCAATAAAAAAAACACTAGTAGCATAATTGAACAAAAGTAAATATCACTAAGTCTGTTACTAGACTGACTTAGTTGTCCGAGTACCAAAAATGTGAGTTGCCAGCATATTTCTATTGAAAGCAGAATACAGGAACTTTTCAATACCACATCATATTTTTATTTAATATTGATCTATCAAGTAACGTATGTATTTCAGCATTGATTACATCCAAAAATGCCCAAGAAAAAGAAGAAACGAGAGGTAGGAGGAAATGGGATGACATTGGCCCAAAGAATTGAAGCAATGAAAAAAGAAAAGGAAGAAGCAGCAATGCGAGAGGTATGCTTTATTTTATTTGTTTTGTTTTAATCATTTCACCCCAAGTAAGGCAACAGAGCCACTACTAAGTAAATTTAATAGTAATAACCAACAGCAAGTAATTAATGAATTAATACAAAATACCCTAAGCAATAAATAATGAGTTAAAAGTCAACAAATGGCACTAGGCAATACAAATAAAATAACTGCATTCTGACCTATAATTACTTCTACTCAATAGTCTTTAGAATATTTTACTTAATTTAAAATATAATAATTTCTGCATATCCAATAACTGTTAACACAATAAACCTGAAATACATCACCTTGATACCTTGTGTGAAAATGATTTAATGATCCTGATAATGAAATACACAACCTTGAGCAGCATATATAATTAGTTGAGCTACCACTCAGCACACATGGCCTGAAGATTGTGCTCAAGCAGGAAACAGACTGTCGCCACTCAGAGTTGACTTCAGTGATCCCACATATTTACACACACTCTATCCCTGATACTGAGAACTTTTACTCATAAATATAGCATACTTCACAACTATATTTTATATATATATATATATATATATATATATATATATATATATATATATATATATATATATATATATATATATATATTAAGAAATATATTACATAGCTCTTTTAATAATATAAAATTCTAGCCTCCGGACGATATAAATCGATTTATTTTAAATTAATAATTTAGAAATCACCCGTTTTCATACGATAGTAGTATCATATAAGTTATCTCAAATCAATATTCCATCCGTCCCTCCCGGTACCGTTGATATATTTTAACTGTAAATACGTAAAATCAATCCATTCCATTCGATAATAAAAACTTTTAACAAGTTAAAACCTAACCACCTCAAACATTATTAATGTTATTTTTTTTTTGTTTTTTTTTTTTGAGTAGTATAGGTTATTTTTGGAGAAAAAGATTACATTTTTAATTGGTGCGAAGCAAGCAATTTATATAATTCAGTTTAGAAGGAGGAAGGGAGATAAGGAAAAAGACACCCCCATTTTAGTGAACAGCTAAATGTATCATTAAAATATTTTAATTGGGACAGAGCAAGCAATTTTGGATGCTTCCAATGGTTTTTTTTTGTTTTTTTTAAGAGCTGAAAATATAAATTCTGTCCTGAGCACTAGCATAATTCTTTACACGGTGGCGACCTGTAGAATAAGATAACAGGTCGGGGGTGGCTGTCGGAGCTGATATGATGAATAAGAACCCCAAAATCAGCGATGATTGACGGCTTTCATCACTGATGACCACCTTTAAGCATTCGAATGTATTTTGCGATACAATAGCTCTGTTAATTAACATTGAGCACTGTTTTTACTTACACTATAAAGTATATATATATATGTATTTGTATACAAACGCACACTCATACATTTACCTATATTTATCCTTTTGGTTATATATATATATATATATATATATATATATCTACATACTGGATACACAAATTTTGGCATGGAATATTTATGAAAAAAAAATTCACACATCACAACCAAAAAAATCAAAATTATAACCTTACCTTTATGTGACCTCACTAACCATGAAGAAACACTTGCAGTATTAACACAAATTATACGACTGGTACTTTTTTTTTAATAGAAGTGAGGTAACATTTAATTACCAGGATATTTTTGGGAAAAGAAGAATTTTAGTACATTTTCATCATGCATCTGTTTCTAAAATTGTTTTAGTTGTTTTTCAGGGAGCAACATCTGCACATCCAGTAAATTTATAATAGCTACAAAGAAATCTACTGGTATCAGTGAACACTGGTACATATGGTAATAGGTAAAAAAAACAGAAATGTAGTACTTCTTAGTAAATGAAGTCCCATACCATACATGCAGAAAAGCAAATTCTAATACCTGTATATCAACAAAAACACACACAAAGCAAGCAGAAGTATACCAGTGAAAGCAAATATTTCTGTAAAATCTGGTATTTCTACAAAACAAGCAGGAAAACATTGAGCTATTCGATGATTTTCTTATAAGAAATTTCTTATGATAATTTATTTCTATTCAAGAATTTATCTAACAAGTGTTTAACAAAATCCTTTATGTATATGTGCTCTATTTCATCAATAGAAAATCCATGGGTTACTGAAATATATATTGGGAGTACAATGAATATATTTAAGAAACATTTGTATAATCATCTCTCATCCTTTACTAATGCTGACAAATGAAATATGACTTAACTTTTTAAATATTTTTGAAAATTGAAAGCTGAAAACAAAATAGCTAAAGTTAAATGGAAAATTCTCAAACAAGCTAGAATCTGTAGATCAGTGAACCATGCTTTTTCTGTCTACAGGAGAAAATGGAAATAATTAAATTCTTGAATACCAATAAATTATTAAATCAAAGATATGAAACTACAGTAAATTGCAAGCATATTAAGGAATTAACCTTACAATCTTTCTAAACTTTATAACTCAGTAATCACTCAATAATCCCTCTTCTTATGTTATATTATCTTTATATAAACATTTTAGTGTTATCCTTAGTGGTTTATTGTAGTTTTAAGGTATTTGATACTGTTATAACAATCTTCAATTTTGTTATTAAATACTATAATAGTTTGTGTTGCTATGTACCTCCTTCACTGTTTGGAGTTTCATGTTTTTATGGCAATCTTCAGATGAAAATTAATAATTACGAAATTATGAATTAATTAATTATTAATTTCAACTTTGACCTTTAAAAACTTAAATGCAATGTCAAATGTTATCTTCTGTTTTCTTAATTCCTGTACTTTTATTGTTCTCTCTGCTTAATAATGTTTTCTTTTTCTCCCAGATTCTCTCACACTTAGTAACCCCCTTGCATACATTGGCTTTTATTTATAAATGATTAAAAGGAGGAAAGAAGAAAAAAAACATTTCCATGTGTGATCAGAGTATAACAAATTTTGAACTAATTTTTTGATAGACTCACATTTTTTCATTTGAACATAATCTCCTTTATTAACGATTCAATCACTCGTAAAAATTAATCACATCAATTAAACACTACAGTGACTTATTGACCTACTATATATATATATATCTATATCTATATATATATATATATATATATATATATATATATATATATATATATTTAAATAATGAAAAGTTTGGTAATCCATATGGATAATCCCAAGGAGGATGTAATCCAGAGAGCTCAATGTCAAATCAGAGCAATTATTAATTCAATTTAAATAGAAAACAGACAACCTTAAGGGTCCATTGGTTATAATTTATTTCTTCAGGTGTATGTTTTTTACCTGTTTCATCAGACTGCACAGCCAAGAGTGAAAAAAATGTTTTAAATTTACATATAGTTTTTATCCACTTTTGAGGGGTAGTTTTAAGTTGATGTAAGGTGATATAGAGAGAGGAGGAGGAGGAGGAGTATAACAAACATGGTTGAAAATAGAGACGGAAAGAGAGATAGGAATAATTTTAAATCTATTTTTATTAAGATATTTAAGAGAAAGGGGGATTAGGACCTGTTTAATAAGTCTTCTCACAGGAAACGAGATAAAGAGAAAAAAGAGAAGTAAAGATATAAGAAAGCAGAAGTGGAAGTACGGGTTTGAGAAAGAAAGGGAAATATAGAGTATATGTAAAGAATAAAAGAAAAGAAAAGGAAGAAAAAGAGTGAGTTAACATACATGGGCATATTGTGGTTAAAAAAACAGATTATTTTGCTGTTGGCATTTGACATTAATTTAAGCATTTAAAATTTTTCAACAAAATAAACTAGGAAATAAATATAATGTGAATATAATATAAATAAACAATATTACTATTATTAACATTATTAATATTATGAATAACAATTAAGGAGTAAAAAGTTTTTAAGTAAAATCTAAAGTTTTTAATTTTAAATTTTGAATCTTAAAAATATTGATAAGTATTTCAAAATGAAATAAGATTCAAAAGTAATAATAGTATTATTTTTAACTTTGTAATAATGATAAAAAAAGAAATTTAATAATAATAATAATAATAATAATAATAGTCCTAATACAGAATTACCTATGAGAGGAATAATGATAATAATAATAATCATAGTAATTATATATATATATATGTAATATATATATGTAATATAGATAAATGGACAAAGTCCGACAATTTATTTATTAAAGACATTTTCATGTTTAACGTTCTTTTTTTATAGATACAAGTATTTAAGTAAATGCTCTGTTTATAATAAACAGTATTAAATAACATTCAGGCCGGTAAATGTTATGTAATACTGTTTATTATAAACAGAGCATTTACTTAAATACTTGTATCTATAAAAAAGAACGTTAAACATAAAAATGTCTTTAATAAATAATATATATATATATATAATATAGATATATAATATATATATATATATATATATATATTTTTGAACAATAAAAAATATTAAAATTTTCAGTCATACTGGATTGTATATTAATATATTTTTGTTTTATTTTTTCAATTAGGTCCCTTGACTAGTTTTACCCAGTATGGCCATCATCAGGAGAAAAAAAATTTTTAGGGGAAAAAAATTTCTGCTTGTTAGTAGCAGTGAACTACAGGAGTAAATGACTGTCTTTGAAGAAAGTGAACTTTATCTGTAGTTTTCATGTTCTTTTATCGTTAAATTTTGTTGGTTCTTGTGTTGGTCAAACATCCTCTTTCAAGTTGCTTTTAAAAAAGAGGCTGGGGAGATTCACAAAATTCCCTTCCTGGTCATTTTGACAGTTTTATTGGTTGCTGGGAAGGGATGTGTGTGTTAAGTGTAAAGTATATATATATATATATATATATATATATATATATATATATATATATATATATATATATATATATATATAAAACAGGTGCAATATGATATGTCTATAAAACATTATAACCAAGTCCTTATTATTTGATTATTATTTTGCTAAGAAATAACAGGTTTTCTGTAAGTCCCAATTTCAGTTCAAAGAAAGAGGGCTGTCATTTACACATCCCTTTATTCAATTAAAGGTGATTCAACTTCAGAATATTCATGAAAGTTGAAAGTTAAAACTTCCCCCACAAACAAATACCTTCAAAGCTTAGCATAAAATAAAATAAGTATTTTGAACTATATTATTTGTGATTCATTATAACTCAATGTATAAATCTCTTGATATAAATTGAAAAGGCCACAGTTGACAAGCCGTCAGTTGCAGAAGAACCACCTGCAGAAAATATAAATGATGCGAATCAACAATCCCAGGAAAAGACAGAGGCCCAAAGAAATGAAGATCTTGACAATCAAAGAGAGATTTCTGACACCAACTCAAAGTAAGTAACTCAATAGTTCTTTATAATTTGTTTATATTGCTTTGGTAATATATCTATCACTTGAGATTCAAAATAATTTAAACTATTCTAACATGTCCTGATCTTTTCATTACTCATTTACTAAGCTTTTTTTGAGTTTGGCATAGAACCACACATTATTAAGTTGGTTAGTGAAGACTTGGCAGCTCCTGTCATATATATAGCAGCAATGTTCCATTTTGGATCTGATTTGGCTCTTGTAGAGGCAGAGGCATAGTGGTGGAGTAATGGATAGCAGATGCAGAGTGGAGTAATTCATAGCAGCTCAGATTGAAGAATTGGAGAGCTGAGTTCGAATTCCAGTCGAATCCATTACATTCACTTACATGCTAATACCCTTGGGAAATGTATGAATCCATTTCTTCTCCCTCTTGCTATGAGTAAATAGCAGGACAGACCGGGTTCTGTAGCCTTGGATGGCAACTGGTCTACTGCAGAAAGAAATGGCAACCTACTGTAGGAAAAAAATCTGCCTTGTCAGTCATGTATCGAAAGGTACATAATAGCCTAAGTGTGTATCATGCATGGCACATAACTGAGTGAAATTCACTTACGTGCTAATAGCCTTGGAAAAAGTATGAATCCTCTTCTTCTACCCAATAGCAGGGTATAAATAGCAGGAAAGACCGGGTTCTATAGCCTTGGATGGCAACTGGTCTACCACAGAAAGAAATGGCAATCTACATGGGGAAAAAAATCTGCCTTGTCAGTCATGTATTGAAATATACATGATTTCCTAAGCGTGTATCACGTATGGCACATAACTGAGTGAAATTCACTTGTGAGCTAATACCCTTGGGAAAGGTATGAATCCTCTTCTTCTCCCCTCCAGCTATGGGTAAATAGCAGGACAGATTTGGTTATATAGCCTTTGATGGCAACTGGTGTACCGCAGAAAGAAATGGCAACCAACTGCATGAATAAAATCTGCCTCGTCAGTCATGTGTCAAAAGATACATGATCACTTAAGCATGTATCATGCATGGCACATAACAGAGGATAGCAGGAGGAATCAGGTACATACTGGTTACTTGTACTGCTCTAGTAAGTACCTGACACTATGTTACTTCCATGGGCTTAAATCACTGACACCCACCACCCATACCCCCTATTCTAAATGTAAAGAGAAATTTTCACATAGAGATCATTTCTCCAAGAACTGCCACTTTGAGAAACAGACACCTGTCTAGATGCATCCTTAAACACTACAACGATAACTTCCTCAAGTCTAAGGTAAATCATTATCTAGCGTCCTTATCATCAAAATCTTCACTTCCTGCCACATCCCCTTTAATCCATATTATATAACTCAACCATAATAATACTTTTAACAGAAACCCTCTACCTTGAGTGCTTCTCAGGCATGGCACTGGGTAAACATTAGTATAAAATAAAATTCAGTCAGTTATCTGCCATGAGTGATTCAATAGGTTGCCATTTCTTTCTGCAGTAGACCAATCACCATCCAAGGTTATAGAACCCAGTCTGTCCTGCTATTTACCCATAGCTGAGGGGAGAGAGAAGAAAAGGATTCATACCTTTCCCAAGGTTATTAGCACATAAGTGAATGTAATCGATTCGACTGGAATTCGAACTCGGCTCTCCAATTCCTCAATCCGAGCCACTATCCATTACTCCACCATGCCTCCATAATCAAATTAGCAAGTTGATATTGATGATCAAATTGGAAAGTCAATTCAAAGTTGTTGCAAGTTACACATAGACAGGTGCTATGGTTCAAGCAGCAAATGTTGCAGATTCAGTCTATGTTTTACGGTGTTTTTAAATTATTTCACCCCAAGCAAGGTGAGAAAGGAGCTCCTGAGGATGAAAGATAATAGAGTGAAGGAAAATGAGAAAATGTTTCTTGAGGAAAAAGGAAAATAAAAAGAACAGGATTCAAGGAGACAGAAGATGACGATTCACATTGGATTTAAATTTTTGAAGATCATAGTTGACAGGAAAGCAAGAACGAAACTTCTTTTTTTTCTTTTTATGTGCCATGTCCTTTCAGGACATAGGTGATCCATTACAGCTCTCAACAAGTTCCTTCCCTCTGCTACCCCCCAGACCATGTTCTGTCATCCACTTGCTTAAGCCTGCTAGGTATGTCATGTATTGTTTTCCTTTTTCTCACTTTTCCTCTGTTCAACCTGTGTGTATCAGATTTTCCAGAAAACGTTACTGTGGAGAAAGGATAATAAAAAGGGCAGGATTCAAGGTGATAGATGACGACTGAAGTTACTTTTAATTTTTGTTGATTGTAGTTGTGAAGTGTAGTAGAATTTTGAGGGGATAAAATTCAATACGGCAGCTGCGTGTCTCAACAAATCCTCCTTCACGCCGTATAACAATTTGTACAACCCATGCACTGGTCACATGCAGCACCTGTTTATATCGAGGTTGAGAAGTCGATGATTGGTTGAGGTGTGACCAAAAATTTGCATGATGTTCTCATATATAAACAAGAGTCACATGCATGCTTTCTTTGTTTTCCGACTTAGGATACAAGCAGTGGCTTGGTTTGATGAGGTACGTCACCATTTTCTTGACTATCATCACAATAGGTAGGGAGGAGTGGATGAGATAGGCAACAATAAACTACAGAAGAATTCAAAATTGATGGCTGCATTTAAGTATTCCATCAATATGTAAGCTTACCTTTTAAAAGTTCAATGATAATTCTTCTGCCTCCACTTAATTTAAAGACAATTTGATGTATGTAGGTCCTTACTTTCCATACAAACAATTATTTTTAATTCGTGGGTGACTTTTGCTGGATTTTACGATTAATTTTGATTATTCCCAAATTTATTTCCAAGTTATAAAAGTTGTTATTATATGAAAAAATTTACATTATTCGGACTATCGTCTTCATCTTTGTCGCCATATTTATTACAATGTTTCAGCCATTGTACACTCCAGTCTTCTTCAGGTGGTTGGAATGTTGAACAGAACCCTTTATTTCACTCGCTGAATAAACTGTTGAAGTTCCACGTGCCATGTCTAATAGGATGTCATAACCGGGTATTGAACTCACACTCTTTGGGTCCTGCCACTGGATCTAACTAATGCCTTTATCTACTGGGCCATCTCCTTGAAGACATCTGTGTATGAATTTTTGGTTATTATAAACCTAATGTCTTCAGCAACCATTTTTTTTTTACCAGTGCACATATTGCAATTTTTGCTGTTATCATTTCATGTTTTTTACCAGAGCTCATATTGCAATTTCGGTTGTTATTATCATTTTTCTCTGGCACTCCTTATTACTGGTCCCCATATTGTATTCATTTTTATGCTTGGTCAGCTCAGGAGTTTTTGTGGCCTAGCATATGTGCTGATTCCTTAAGTTTACAAATTTTCCAATGGTGTTCTTTGTCTATGATCTCAACCTGATCCCACAGAGGGCGGTGATCTCCCTTTTCTCTCCATATGTGGTCAGCCACACCTGATTTTTCTACTTCCCCTCATGTTACAGCTTTCTGGTGTTCTTGAAGCCTTACCTTAAGGGGACGGCCTGTCTCCCCTTTATATTTCTTTCTGCAGCTGTACAATAGTCCGAATAATGTAAATAGTGTACATAATACCTTATCTCAGAAATATAGACAGATGCAAAAAAATTTGTTGCAAAAAAATCGCGTAAAAAAAAATTGCTGAAAACAATTGCAGTAATGAAAACTCGGGAATCCAGAATTTCAGGATTACATGTCCGGATCCAGCCTGGATTGTTTTTAATTTACTCACTGAGTCGGCCTGATTCCAAAATGGTACGATATGTAGGGCTATGGTCCCTAGCAGTAAAGTCGAAAAAGTGTGACACAGTGACACAGTGACATTTGCATTTATTATTTTGTTTTTCATTATGTGCCATGTCTCTTCAGGATGTAAACAATCATGGCAATGTTTGCTCCCCTTCCTCTTCCTCCCTGTCCCTGTCCTGCCGTCCTTTTACATGAGCTCATTATGTTGGTTACTCACTATTTCCCTCTGCCTGTCTCACCTTCATTATTTCGTGTAAGTGTCAAATTCTCTAAGCCCTCTTTCCTCATTGCAACAGTTCAGACCATCATTTGACAATATAGAAATATAGTAGTAATATCTTGAGTGTTTTTATTAGATGAAGTATTGTCGCCTATTAACATATTTTCAAGCTTACAAGATGCTCTTTTTTTCCTAAAGAATACTCTGAAAAATATGTGTGCGTCTTCCAAGATGGTTGTAAGGCAATGCCCTGGCTCAAATAGACTTGGACATTCACCTAATTGGCTTGACAGATAGGGACGTGAATTTGTATGTTTAGTCATTACAATGTTAGCTATCTATCTAATTCAGCCTTTTTGTATGATGTAATCTCAATACTTAGCTGTTACAAATATTTCTAAGAGTATAAACCTTCATGGAGCCGAGCCACAAGCTCTGTTTACTAGCAGCAGCAGGAGCCATTCTTCTCTTGACTAGTATGTCATTGCCATACAAACAAAATCAGATGAGTGATTAATATAAACAATACGCGGCGCCAGTATGTGAGGGACACATGGTAAATGTGTTGTATGAGAATTACTTTTTCTTTTAGAAATTTCTTTCCAGTATTAGGGTGCATCTTCCAAGCTGCAGCATCTTGTAAGCTGGAAAATACAGTACTAATTTTTTTATTCTATTTTTCTAAAAATTTTTGTTGCTCATGGTCCTCCCCATCCTCTACATTTAATGCAGTGGTTCCCAACCGATTTGGGGCCATATCCCACTTTGGTATTTCTAAAATTCTGGTGTCCCTCCCCTGTAATATTTAATTCTTACATCTATGCCAATTACATATGTACATACATACACACAAAATATTTTTATATATGCATACTGTATATGCATCGTATGTATTAACACACATTAACATTAACACTGTCACCCAGACTCATGAGAAAACAATTCACTGTTAATAACTTATTCTCAAATTGCCCCCCTTATTCTGTTGGTATAGTAAGCCAAAAGGTGCACATCCTACGCATGCCCCATCAAAATATTACCATGCCCCACAGTGGGGCATTTGCCTCACATTGGGAATCATTGATTTAAAGCATTCAGGCAATGGGTCTGGTCTTCATCTTTATTTTTTATCAGCACTGCTTACATGTTACAGGATGATAGTCAAAGTAGGTGTGAAGAAAAGCAACTGCAAAATCGAAAAATATTAATAAAAAAATTAGTAATTACGTTTTTCTTCTATTTTTTAAGGCAAGAATTTGTTCCAGAAGAATTTGAACCTTTCTTCATGGAACCAAAAGATCAAGACTTAAAGATAGTAAGTGCAAATACTTATCAACCTATGAGGAGTTATCATTATTTACACTATTTATATTCAGAATCTTTGTTGTCATCTTTGTTATTGTTATTCCAATGTTTTGGCTATTGTACCCTCCAGCATTCCTCAGATGTGTTTTTTTTTTTTACAGTGATGTTCACCCTGTGCAAATCCATGGGGGCCACTTGAGGGAGAGGGTTAAGATTATAGTGATTGGGGGAGCAACCTCTTAGGAGTCAGTTCCACAAGGCAGTGGGAAGAAGGTGCTTGAGTGTAACTTACATCTCACCAGGGGAGTATAAGGGTGATTCATTACAATGTACATGACATGGCAGGTCTTAACTATGAAAGTTAGGACTGGTGGAACTAAGGAATGTAGTTTATTTGAACACACTCTATGGAAATAGCAACAGAGCAGCAAGAGGCTTGCAACATCTCATATGTGAGAAACTAAAAAGGAGTTTCAGAGTGAAAAATAATTTGTTACCTACAAGGACACAGAGATGGTTATGGACTTGTAGTGGACCAGGGGGTTATGTGTTGTTAAATTAGAAACATGCATGCAACTCCTGACAGAATATTAAAAGGTCCACTACAAGAATATGGCAGACCCAAGTTGAGTCCAACTGAAGATGTAAAGAAAACAAACAAGACCAATATATATATATATATATATATATATATATATATATATGCAACAAGTATATGTATTAAAGGACAAAATTTACAAAGGACAAAGACATCAACATTTGTGTTTGTGCGTGAACATAAAGAGTTTGTATTTTGATGAATGTTGGTACGTACGTTTATGTGTTTCCTGGCGTTTTCCCACAAGTGGGTAAAAACGCAAATCTCTGCGAGAGATCACATCCTTTAAATGTGTCCGAAGAAATGCAAAGTAAAAAAAGTGAGGCAATAAATTGCCCAGTATTTATAGTGTAGGGAGAGCATGCCCTAGTGAACAATCAGAAAACTAAGGAGGAGTTAACTCTGACAGACTCTTTCGTAAAATAAAAGAAGGGCAGCAGTTGACTACTGATCACGTGTCATGGAACAACACAATACAACAAAAACATTGTATTTGGTATGGTTTATGTAAAGTGACAAAAAAAATACATTTATTAGAAACTAGCTTAGAAAATGCCCTTCAGGTGGCTTTTGAACCTTTGGCCTTTTATCGTCAGTGTCTCCTATGAACATAAAAGTTGTAAGAATTTAGAAATAATAAAATTATTTTATCTTTATTCGACACCTTAATTCGATCTAATTTTTCTTTGTGTATGCAACCGATCTCCATAGTTTGTTTACATTTATTTTGCAAATAATTTTTCTTTTCTTTTAAAATCACCATTTTCTATGATCCCTTCACATAAAGTCACTCTTATAAAGACATTAGTTAATGTTATACTGGAACATACCTATTCTATTGTTAATAGACTCTCCCACCTATAATAAGTAGTAGTAGTAGCAGTCACCAGGGAGATCAGTGAGTTGGTGAGTCAGTCAATGTCAGACATTAAAGTATCAACCACCACAATTAGATTGCTGCATCATTAACTATTATATCAAGCTCCTAACGTTTTGTATGTCGAACCTTTTTAGGAACGACTTAGTGAAATACAAGCCTCCACTGTGAAACAACTCTATAACAGTGAACCACCTGAACAATGTAATATTTCCAATACATCGCAATATAAATGCTAGAAAAAGAAGAAAAAAATAAGCAATACCGTGCCCCACTTAAGTTTTAATTACAGTATAATTAATTAGACAATATCAATTGCAAATGTGACGAAAAGAAAAATTAAAGTTAAACCTTTAATAAAGAATTCTTTTTTAAAACTTTCACTCTGTTCAATATTTAAATTTAAGTTTAAATGAGTTGTTTATTTAATTTTTAATCGCGTGTAACTACAGTAGTTACTTCGTGTTACTTCAGGTTGTTGATGATTAGCCAAGATCAACAAATGAACAGAAACACATACATTGTTTATATTTATATAGAAGATTTACAGTAGCTTCTTATATTCTTATATAGAAGATTTACAATAGTTTCTTGTTGCCAAATACCTTTGCACCATACAGTATTTCAGAAAGACATGCCCCAGCTTATTATACTCCTAATTTTCAATAATTTACTATGAAAATGTCAATGTCCAGTCAAGCCAAAAACTAAATAAATAACTGGTCATCAATGTTCAATCATATTTATACAATATTTCTTTTCATGTTCTAATGGCAACCGGCATTTAGTGACCTTCATTTTCTGTATTGTTGCAAAATAATTATTGTGTAGAAGTAGTGATTTGTTTTAGATGAATAATAATAGGGATTTGTTAGGGCTTGACTACACAATCAATAAATGTGTATGACAGGACACATCTTGTTCAAAATAGTTTTTATAATGTTGGGTGAATGGGCTTGATGGCTTCTATTTTTTTTTTAAATCAGGGTTTTTATGAAAAGTACAAGGTGGAAGATACTGTAGCAATGTTTGTAAGGGTGCAAACAAAGCTTTATGATAATTACATTATCCTTTTTTTAATCATCTCACCCGAAGCAAGGCAATAAAAGCCACTGGGATGCAAGGGATTACTGAGAGTGAAAGAAACAGAGAGGACAATAAAATGTCAGAAGTCAGAGAGACAAAAGTTGATGACTGAGAGTAAATTTAAATTTTTGGAAGATTGTAGAAAAGCAGAAAACCAGAAGAGTTCCACAAGCAAAAAGTGCAAAAGAAGAAACTATTAGAATAGAACTTATGGTTACAATTAGCAATTCCAACAGTAAAATGATAAGACCTAACTGCCAATCTAGTCACTTATGTGTCTTTCAAAACAATCAAGTATTGCACTTAAATTCATGAAGTCAGGATAATAATAAGGGAGGCTCATCAGAACAATTATGATGAAAATATTTTTTAGAAAAGACAAAGGAAAGTTATTTCACACCAATAGGAAAGTGACTGAAACCAAAATAGTAGGTCTGGGCTGATAATGTTGACGTTTTTTCTTTGGATTTTGTCAAATTTTTGTAGATACTAGCACCAGACAAGAATTAGCAGCAATATTTGTTGCATGGAAGAATAACAACTTATAAATGTGCAAGATTCTGTTGAGAAAAATTGTCTTGCACAACACAGTGAACTGACTTTCCAAGCAGCTGACCTAGCTTTTGATTAAATATACTCATTTACTTAATGTCAGTGAGACCAACAAGCTGCACTGAGTTGCTCTCCTGGAGGTTAGCATCAGCCATGCTGATGGAAAGTAAATAGGTTCTTTAAAATAGAAATCAGTTTCATTTTAGAGTTTTCTCTTTAGTCTACATTTTCATCTTTGCTTTCTTTCTTGTTTCTCTTCTTTTTTTTTGTCATGTTTATCTTCAGATTTCTTCTCTCTTTCTTCTTTCTTCTTTCTTCTTTCTTCATTCTTTAATCTTCTTCTTATTATTATTTTCATTTTTAGTTTCTTTCCATTACTTTTAATATTTCCCTTTTTTTTCTTTATTTTATTCTTTACCCTTTTCCTTTTATTTCTGCTTTTAATCTTTTTTTTATCCTTTTTTCTTTGTTTCTCTTATTGTTTTTTTTTTCTTTTTTTCTTCTTTTACTTTTCATTCATCATTTTCTGCTTTGCATTCTTTCACTTTTCTCTCCCAAATTTTATTATATATATATATATATATATATATATATATATATATAATTACATTTCTCTCATTCTTTATTTCTTCCTTATTCATTTTTTTTCTCCCCAAATTTCATTAAATATATATATATATATATATATATATATATATATATATATATATATATATATATATATATATATATATATAGGTAGGAGGCATGGTGGAGCAGTGGATATCGGCTTGGATTGAGGAATCGCAGAGCCAAGTTCGAATTCCAGTCGAATCCACTACATTCACTTACGTGCTAATACCCTTGGGAAAGGTATGTATCCTCTTCATCTCCCTCCAGCTATGGGTAAAATAGCAGGACAGACTGGGTTCTATAGCCTTGGATGGCAACTGGTCTAGGAGAAGGACAACTCTGAATTCAAAACCTGCGGAGGGTCATTTGGGAACCTTGTGGCATGTATTCGGTGCACCAGGTTTCTGTATTCGTCCCTCCAAAAAGTGTGGCTGGTCCTGCACGAGGCCTTCACCACTATAATCAAATCTCATGTGCCGGTGTCGGGATGTCGGTTTCCTGGGGACTTATCGGCCTGACCCTCATACGTCGAACGCGACGGGAGAGTCGATTATATATATATATATATTTATAATTACATTTCTCTCATTTTTTATTTCTTCCTTATTCACATTTTCGTTTTATTCATTTTTAATTTTTTAATTACTTTTAATATATCCTTTCTTCTTCTTTAATTTCTTCTTACCCTTTTTTTTTAAACTTTTAATCTTTTTTATTCTTTTTTCTTTATTTCTCTTATTCTTTCTTTTTTCTTTATTTCACTTTTTATTCTTTATTTTCTTCTTCCTTTTTCTTTATTTCTGATTTTAATCTTCTCTGTTCTTTTTTTCTTTATTTCTCTAATTCTTTTTCTTTTTTTCTCTTTTCTTAATTTCACTTTTCATTCTTCATCTTTTCTCTTCCTATTTTCTTCAAATTTATATTTCTCTTTCTACTTTTCTTTCATTCTTTATTCTCTTTATTCTCTTCCTTAATTTTTATTCTCATTTTCTCTATTTTCTTTTTCAGCTTTTCAATTTCTTTTAATATTTTCTTTTTTTATCCTTTTTTCTTAATTTCACTTTTTATTCTTTTTCTTTATTTTCCTTATTCTATTTTCGTCCTTCTTTTTTCTTAATTTAACTGTTTATTCTTTTCTTTAATTCATTTTTTTTCTTTACTTCATTATTTTCTTATTCTTTTTCCGCCTTTTTTTCCAAATTTCACTTTCCATTCCTCATTTTCTTCTTTCACTTTTTTCTTTTCTTCTTCTGTTAATGTTCTGCATCTTGTTTGAGAAATTATA